AAAAGAAAAGAAAAGAAAAGAAAAGAAAAGAAAAGAAAAGAAAAGAAAAGAAAAGAAAAGAAAAGAAAAGAAAGAAAGAAACCATGCAGAGGTCAATGGAGGAACACGCAGAAGGGATGGCCATCCTCGGACCAGCAGAGAAGCAGCTTTAGGGCAGGAGGCACCAGCAGATCATGAGGGCAGGACCTGGGCCAAACCAGTCCTTTGGCACCTGGTCAGGCCCCTACCCACTCTCCCTGGAGGGCCCAGGTCCATGGTGGGGTGCCAGGCCCCAGGAGAGACAAGGCAGGAGGTTGAGGGGAAGCAAAAAGACAAGTACAGAAGGGAGCATCGGGTGAAGGAACCCACGGACTAGCCTCACGTAGATACCTGTGATGACCATGTGAGCCAGAGAAACAAACTAAAGCGGGGCTGGGGCAATGATCCCACAGGCAAGGTTGGCTCTCTCCTCCTAGCCCCATGGGCCTGGGCCCCAAGCCGCACTTCCTACTGCCTTTCTTCTACCAAGGTGATGAGTGACTGCTCAGGCTGGACACGTGGTCCAGAGGCAGACACTGACTCTGGTCTGACTAGAGTCCCAGAGTAGGCCAGACAACATGGTTCTACAGGAATACAGAAGGTTCCAGAGTTCTGCTGCGCACAGTGTAGCCATGAGGCACATGGGATTGATCGTACTTCACCGAAATTAAGTAAATATAATAAACTAGAATTCGACTCCTCTGAAGCCCCAGTACCCACGGTTATAGCTGCCTGGCAAAGGCTGGCTCTGAGTGGGTAGCAGGATAAGGGCAGCAAATGCACTTGCCTGGGACCAGGGGCGCCTTCTCCTGGGTGTCCTGGGTGTCTGGAAAACCCACAAAGTGTATGGGCAGGTAAGTTGTTTTTCATGTATAATTTCAGAGGCTGGGAGCGGAGTGAGCTTACTCTATGCAGGCTGCCCAGGCAGAGACATCTACCCTGGCCCTGTGGACCCTCCCTCACCAATTATCCTGATCTCCTGGGGGGCTGCTGGATGTCATACCTAAGCAACTTGGGTCCAGCCCCGCTCCCTGGGTGAACGTGTTTCCTCACGAGGTCCACTCCCTCAGGAACCATCTGTGCCCCCCCAGCTCCTCCTCCCTTATCAGTCTAAATGTGAATGAGGCAGGATCAGGCACCGGGACACAGACACCCTAGTGAAAGGGGCATCTCATGGGGTCACCTCGCAAGATATGTGAGGCCAGGTCATCCTGAGACAGAAGTGAATTGGTGTTTATCAGGGACAGTATTTGGCATTATGTCCCCACAGTCCAGGCTCCTCAGCCAGGCCTGAGCCTTGGGCATGAGCCTCATGCAGGAGGGGGGACAGCTATGCCAGAAGCCACAGAAATGCTTGGCACAGCAGCTTGGGCAGAAGCAGCAGGGCCAGGACTGGTGGAAGAGCCATGGGAAAGGGAGAGGGACAAGAGTGGGAGAAGGAACGGAGAGGGGTATGGACTGAGCTGGCAATGGAGGGGACACTGACTAGGACTCTGGTCCAAGCTAATGGCAGTAGAGAGCCTCCACCCCAACCAGGAACCCAGGAAGGCTCCACGTTGGCCTGTCCTGCAGGCACTTCAGGGGTACAGGCTGGACCTTGGGAGAAAGAGATAGCTGAGGATGTATGAGGAGTGGCAAGCTTCCTCCTGAAGCATTAACAGGAACAGCAGGGATCCCAACCCCACCAGACCTGTTCTTCTTTAACAGCCTGTGGAACTGGCTGAGCTCACTTCCTGGCACCTAAAGCCAGGAGTCAGCAAGCCCCAGCACTCTCCTCTTAGCCCAGGACAGGCCCTTTTGGAAGCGGGAAGGGGCAGAATGTGCCTGGGCTAGGCAACAAGGAGGTCAAATCCTCAGCCCTGACGACTCTTCCTCCCCACCCCAACCAGGGCAAAATGAGATCATATACTCCAGCTCCAGGCCTCCGAGGGTTACCCACCCCTAAGATACAAGTCAATCTCCTCCCAGACCTACAAGCCTCAACAACTTCTGACCCAAACAAAGCAGGGTGTGTGACTGCTCCCAACTGCTGCTGGCTCCTGGGCTCTGCCCCAAACCTCACTGGTGTCCCCAGCCCTGTGGGACCCTCATGTCTGTGGTGTGTACCTCAGAGCTGGCCGCCATTCAGAACCATCTGCCTGTGTGGTCACCTGTCACTGCCTTCCCAGGAGAAGAGAGGGCAGAGGGTGAGTCTTTCTGTGGCCCAGAACAAGGTCACTCTCCCTTGATGAGAAACCTGGGGCCCCAAGCACCAGGGGCCCCAATGCCACAGCTAGGACTGCAGCTCACGCAGATTCCCAGCTGCTCTTGGTATTTCATCCCATCTTGGAGTTGGTGGCCCACCTTTCCACTTCCCTCAGAAATCACTAGCTGCTTGCCCTGTGCTTTCAACTTGGCCAGGCCTCTCACGTCTAGGACTTCATCGGGGCCATGACTCCAAGCTAGTCCCAGTCACCGTCTGCAACGGCCCCTTCTGAGTTCGTCATCACGAGCCAGCAGGTGGAAGCTACAGCCCCACTTCCCACCTAAGGAAAAGGCTGCCCATGGGACCCAGAATTCACACCAGCTCAGGCATAGAGCCAGTACACGTACTAGACCCCAGACCAGGTGAGACGACTGTCAGTGTGTCCCCTTCTCCAGCACATGGGGGCTTTCTCCTCACCCACATGGGCAGCCCACCCAGCCCCACAGTACCTCCTTCAGCTCCTGTGCCACCGAGGCCAAGCGCTCGCTCTCCGACTGCGCATTGGCGAGCACATTGCGCAACTGCTTCAGCTCAGTCTGCAGCTCCAGCACCTTGCGCACATAGTACTGCTCCTTGGAGGCTGACTCCTGGATCAGACTCTCCTCTCGGCTCTCACCATCTGCGGCCACCTTCCTGTGGTTTGTGTGTACCTGTCCAAATGCCTGTGTAGAGAAGAGACTCCATGAGAGTGAACCAGGCCAGCCAGTCCTGTAAGCATGCAATGCATGTAGCCTGACACAGGGAGAAAGAGGCTCAGAGAAGTACCCTTCTGCTGCCTGATCTTGACCCATCTGTTCACTCATCTTGAGTGATGCCTATGCCCAAGGAGGCCTAGGCCCATGTGAGGAGACTGGAGCACTCAGAACCAGCCGACAGGCCACCATGTGTGGCTGATTCAAGAGACCCTACTCACCTGCCCAGGACCTAGGTATGGAGCTGAAATTGCCAGACACAGGAAAGAGGATGCCGCCACTCCCATACCCAATCAGGGCTTTGCCTAAGAGAGGTGAAGGGGCATGGTAGGGGGAACAGGGGCTCAGGGAGGAGTCCCCATGGCCAAGAGGGCAAGAGAAACTGGACTAGAGTCCTGGGCCAGCTGGGGCCTCCCATTATGTCATGCTCCGTCCCAAGCAAGGGGCCAGGCCTGCAGGAAGTATCTTTGCTTCTCCTTCCTTCCCACCCTGCACATCCCAGGATGGCTACTGGGGATGTGCAGGGTGGGAAGGAAGGAGAAGCAAAGATAGGAACATTTTCATTCATTTACTATGAGTGTCTAGGCAAATATGCTAATCTGACTAGACTAATATAATAAACTAATATGAAGTCCAGGAATTTAGTCCAAGAAAACAATTGGGAAAATGTGTAAAGCTATATATAAGGATGTTACTAGGTAGGACTCTTTATAATATAAAAAATCAAAATGTAGAAAGTAACTCCTTTCTCTGCAGTGGGAGACTAGCTAAATGAAGTATGATCTGGTCAGGATAACTGCTCACCCTTTCAAGGGTGTGTCTTGCTCATCTGCCCCAGCCACCAACCAACACAGTCATTCTATGAAGACACCGGTTTCTTTCCAAAGCAAGTCAGCTCATCCTTGTGATTTCTGTTGCTGTCCCCAGGAAAAGCCTAAAGCATAAACCATGTCTATGCAGGACCTGCCTCTTCCTGAGTAGCAGCTCTGACTCCCAGCTGTACACCAGCCCTGGGCCTGCCAGAACCTGCCAGGCGCCCAGAAGCTCAGGAAAGCATTGGTCAGCTTGCGTTATATCTCCAAACCTCCAGACAAGCCTAACTGGGTGAAAAGAACAGAACACACTTATGAACCTCTAGCTGGAATGCAGACATCTCACAAGGCATCATATCACCCTCAGAGGCTGTCCAGAGGTGGGACAGCTAAACGCCACAACAAGCAAGGACACACAGGTATAGGCCTGCCAGCTTCAGCCTAAATCTTCCCTAGGCCCACCTCCCAACAGGGGGCCCCCTGAGCACCTAAGCAGCTTTTCAAAGACAATGGAGATGGAGACTTGCAATCTCTGCCAGACAAGGCTGTTACAGGGACTGAATCTACCTCTCATGTGGAAAAACTAAAAATAACTGGGAAGTTGATGTGATTGAGCAATGGTTTTCAAGCCAATAGACATCAGGTAGTGAGAGACAGGTGTAGGCAAGCTCCACGACAATCTTCATTCCTCCGGCCACAGAGCAGAAAGAGTATGAAGCGACTCGCAGGCCTGAGCAGAGGAGGAGGTGCTGGAAGATGGTGGATAGGTGGCAATGATGGCAGACCTGCAGACAGAGGGACTCTGATTCCTCATAGTGGACAGTCGGTGCAAGCCTGTGAGTGAGCCATTGAGGCTGGAAAAGGGCCACCAGCAGGACAGAGGGAACCATCCCATCATTTGCACAGTCCTTGGCCAAAGTGGAATTAGATAAATGCTCTCTGGCCCTGACCAACAGTTTAAGGGCAAAACCTGAAAGGATCCAACTACATCCCAGAACAAAGTACAAGAACACACACAGGAATAACAGTGCCATCTCCCAACATGTAAAATCCAGAGCCCAGCATCCTAACACAGGTGATACCGCCCACAAATGGGCAGAAGAACAGCCCTGCAACGATGTGGGGATTTAAGAATGACATAGTGACAGAGCTGGGAGACAGGGCAGGACTGATTCCACAGGCTCAGGATGCCAAAGGTATAGAAAGTGGAGTGACAACATGTGAGATGAAAGAGGCACTGGATGAGATTAACAGATTATACAACACAAAAGAAAATATGAGTAAATATGAAGAAACAGCAATAAGACTACCCAAAACGAAAGGCACAAAGAGGAAAAAAAAGAGACTAAAACACCAAACAGCGTGACTGAGCTTGTGGAACTTCAAGGAGCCTAATAATACCTAGAGTCTGTGGGTTTGGTGGAGAAAAGAAATGAGGATAGAAAAAATACTTTAAAACCAGTAATATAGAGAAAATACTAAAATCAGCAAGAGAGAAAAAGAATACATTACTACAGAGAAGCAAACATAAGAACGACAGTGGATTTCTCCGACAAGCATGGCCAGTGTAGCGATTTCTTGAAAAAAAAAAAAACAAAAACAAAACAAAACAAAACAAAACAATTAACCAGAATGCTATACCCAGTGAAAACGGTTTACAAATAGAGGTGAAATAAAGACTTCAGACATACAAAAGCTGAAAAGATTTTATCACCAGCAGATCTGCATTACAAGATGTTAAATAAAATCCTTCAGGCAGAAAAAAAACAATACCAGATGGAAATCTAGATTTACAAGGAGGAGTGAAACTACGCTGATAAATATAAAAGACGTTTTTCTTATTATTTAAATCCTTTAAAAAATAATTAGCTGGAGATTCAATGCAACCTCTATTAAAATCCCAATGGACTTTTTTGTAGAAATGGAACTTCATATGGAATTGCAAGGGGCCCAGAATGCCTAAAACAACATCGAAAAAGAATAAAAGTGGGAAGCCTAAATTCTCGATTTCGAAACTTAGTATGAGGCTCCAGTGATCACAATAGAGTGGTACTGGCATAAGGATGGGCGATATAGACCAATTGAACAGAAGAGTCCAGAAATAAACCCTCACATATGTGATCAATTTATTTTTGACAAGGGCACAAAGATAATTCAATAATGAAAGGATAGTTTTTTAACAAATGGTGCTAGGACAAAGGGAAATCCACATGCAAAAAAAAATGAAGATGGATCATATACATCACATAAAAAATTAACTCAAAATGGATCAGAGACCTAAATATAAGAACTAAAACTATAATGCTCAGGAGAAAACAGGGATAAAGCTTCATGACCTTGTTGGCACTAAATGTGTTATACTAAAAGCATGATGAACAAAAGGAAAAAGTAGCGAAACTGGACTTCATCAAAATTTAAAACTTTGTGTATCAAAGGACACTATCAAGTGAAAAGACAACCTACACAACAAAATATTTTCAAATCTTATATTTAATAAGGGTCTAGTATCCAGAGCATATAAAAAAAACTCTGTAACTCAACAATAAAAAGATAAATGACCCAATTAAAAAATGTACAAAGATCTTGAATAGACATTCGCCAAAAAAGATAAACAGCCAACAAGCACATGAGAAGATACTCAACATCAGGAGACATTAGGGAAATGCAAATTAAAACCACAATGAGATAGTACCTCACGCTCACTAAGATGACAGTAATTTAAAAAAAAAAAGGAAAATAACAAGTGCTAGTGAAGATACGGAAAAACATTGGTTTAGTTGTGGTGGAAAACAGCCTGGTAGAGCCTCCAAAAGTTAAAGAATTATCATATGATCCTGCAATTTCAATCCTAGGTATAGATCCAAGAGAAATAAGTACATACATCAATACAAAAACTTGTACACAAATGTTCATAATAGCCAAAAAGTGGTAACCCAAATGTCCGCCAACTGATGAATGGACAAATAAAATGGAGTATTACCTGGTAATAAAAAGAAATGAATTACTGAAACATGGCATAAAATACATGAATCTTGAAAAATTCTGCTAAGTGAAAAAAGCCAATCACAAAGGACCACATAGTGTATGATTCCATTTACATAAAATGTCCAAAACAAGCAAACCTCTAGAGACAAAGTTATTTAATGGTTGCTCTGGGTTGGGGGTGGGGTTGGGAAGTTGGAGGGGATAATAGCTAAGGAGTATGAGGTATCTTTGGGGGCTAATGAAAATGTTCTAAAATTGGTTGTGATGACAGATACACAACTCTGTGAATATACTAAAAGCTACTGAATTATACATTGGAAATGAGTGAATTGTATGATATGTAAATTACATAAATAAAGCTGTTAAAATATAATTGTTTTAAAAAGTTAAAGGATAGAAAAAGATAAACCATGCTAACACTCATCAAAAGAAAGCTAGAATGGCTCTATTAATACTGGATAAAGTAGATTTCACAGCAAAGAATATTACCAGAGATAGAAGATCATTTCACAATAAGGAGATTAATTCACAAAGAGAACATAATAATTCTAAATGTTTACACATCTCATAACAGAGCTTCAAAATACATGAAGCAAAAGCTGATAGAACTGCAAAAATAGACAAATCCAATATTAAAGTTAGGAGAGAGAGTTCAACGGCTATCTCAACAATTCATAGAACAAGTAAACAGAGGATCAATAAGGATATAGAAGACACAAACAACACTACTAACTAATTTGACCAGTCAACAGCAGCAACACATAAATTCTTTCCATGCCTTATACCCAGGCAGACCAAACTCATGTCTCAAATTTAAAGGGATTCAAGCCATAAAAAGTATGAGTTCTGACCAAAGGGAATTAAATGAGAAATCAACAACCAAAAGACACCTAGAAAATCCCCAAATATTTGGCCACTAAATAACAGACTTCTAAGTAATTCGTGGGTCAAAAAAGAATTCAAAATGGAAACTAGAAAGTATTTTTAACTGAATGAAAATGAAATGAATATAGGAATCTGTGGGATGCCACAAAAGCAAGTAGGTACTCAGAAGGATATTTACAACACTTTATGACTGTTAGGAAAAAAGAGCAATCTAATCAATAACCTCAGCTTCCATCTTAAAAACTATGTGCAAAGCTCAAGGCACAGCTATCAGCCCTGAGGAGATGA